ATTAATGTACCATTGCATCGTGTTGTTGCTCTCTTAACTCAATTTTTTAGAAGAAATGATGCTTCAAAATGCTAGTTGGGTTTTGAAATATTGTTTTAAGGGCACGTTAATAAAAATGAAAATGAAAAATTAAATGTTTGCTGTTAGTAATTGTGTTTCTGATTTGGTTGGAGTTGTTTGGCTGTGTGTTTTTAGAAACTGTGCCTACACATGGAGGAAGTCCCACATTGCTCATATTTCATGGGAACAAGCAGACAAAATATCAAAGGCTGAGAAGGAGCATACGCCGCTCCGAGTACGAATCCCGAGGAGCTGAGTAACTCCCCGTCCTCAGCAGTTTGACATAGTAATCTTCCCTGGAAGTAATCTCCTTGTCCCATGTGTCCTGCTTTAATCTATCAGTATTTCTGCAGCGTGCAGCAAGAAATTGATTTTCAGTAATTTTAATGGCTGAATAACTGGTCCTGTCCCAGAGTGTTTTTTCATGTTTGCAGTGGCCAATGCGGTAACTGAAGGCAGTGTTCTGGATAATGGGTTTCATTAGCTCTGATGCCTGAGGTAAAAAAGCAGTAGGTGGGAATAAAGCCTTGTTTTTGATGTCTAGACGTTCATTTTAGCTGTTGCTGCAATATGATACATTAAAAGGAAATATGTAACATAGCTCTGAGGAAATATGTATTCTTTGAAACTAATTCTGCTTTTAAACTGCACAAGGCAGTGTGACCTGAATTATTAAAATGTGGGTGGCTGGATTTCTTAAAGGTATAACTGTCTCTGCAAGGCCAACACAGCCTCGACTTGCTTTCTCTCCTTCCTTCCTGGATTTCTTTTAAGTAAAATATGTCAGTTTGGTCACTGAAGCAGAACAGAGATCTTATTATCTTTCCACTATCTCTGCTGGGAGACCTAAAATTATTGAAGTATTTGCTTTGATATTTTGCTGTGACTTCTCTCCTTGAAATTTTTATAATGGTTCTTTTTGTTTGAGAACATGGCCGACTTCATAAAAATCATTGGGCACTTTGAAGACCTTAATATCTCTGACTTGAAAATAGAAAAGACCTCAAGCCAACCAAGCTGCTCATTAACGTGTGTTTAAATTCTAAATTTCCAGTGTAAGTCTTAAGTTATTGCAGTTGCCTTTCATTCCTTTAACATCTGATCTGCAAGAATAAGCTTAACAATCAACACAAACGTTTTATTCATTTATTGAACCTACGAAAACAATATCATAACAAATGTATAAAAACTTTTCATGCGAAAGCTCCTGATTAATCCCCGTTGTTTATGGAGCCCAGCAGTGGGATTTAGCACCTCCGTTGTAATCCACTGTGATAATTATCAAAGACACCTTTTGTCTTCTGGGGATTTTCGGCTATTCTTGGTATTTTTTTTTCCTGAGAATCCAGATTTTTAGGGACAGTGTATTAATAGACTTAGTTGTTTATTTGGAGAGATGAATTAGTTTTTTAAAAAAGACAATAAAGCACATAGAGTAGTTCCTTCTTTTGGTGAGAAATGTAGTGGTAAAGTTCTCCCTCTGCTGCAGGATGAACAGTGAGCAGGGGATGAGCTGCCTGTGATAGGGCAGGAAATGCTGCTCACAGTTGTCATCCTTGACTCCTGTGGAGTGTACACAGGCTCAGAACAGGCAGTTAACATGTACAGATACATGTGTAAACACACACAGGTAGAGCTGTAGATATCTGTCTCCGTGGAGGATCAGTGCATCTGGCAGATCACAGTGGTGAGAAGGAGCTTGGGCTCCTGGAGGTCATCCAGTCTGACACCCTGCTCAGAATGGGATTGCCACAAACAAGGGATCAGATTAGCCATGGCTTTGTCTCCCCAGGCCCAGGGCAGCAGTGACCCACAGTTTTGTCCCATCTGCTTTGCTGCCTCTCCAGACTCTTGTTCTCAACTCTGTCTGCCATGAAGGAATACGTAGTTACATCCTCTAACATACTTTTATTACTAGAAGATTCAATCTTTACTTGATTCTCCCCCTAGAAGTTCTGTTTTTTGCAGGATGACTTGCACAGCTGTTGTGTAACGTCACATTTGTTGCGTCTGAAGAGAAGTATTTCAACTGAAGTAACAGAAATACCTTCAGGACAGGATAGAGGTGCTTGGCATGTGTCTGAACCTGTGCAGCACCTGTGTTCTTGGCCGTGCCTGGAAATGCTGTCAGGCAGCTCAGGAAGGCTGAGGACAGCTGGAGTTGAACGTGTTGAGTGTTAAAAGCATTACAAATCATTAGACAGACAGAGACCAACAATTATTTCCTAGTCTCCAATCTGCTGTAAGGTATTAAAAATACTCTTCAAAATCTAAAATGTAGTTACACTCTAAGTGTCAGGAACTTTTCAGTTTTTGGGGATAGTCTTAATTTTTAGTGTTTTGTTACTGGTCACCATATGCATCTTGAAGTTGTAAGTTGCTCCAGTTATTTAAACTCTCTTCTTTTAGATCAGGAAGCCAAAGAGCAGAGAGGAAGTGAAATGCTGCACTTCTAATTTTCCCTCTTCATTTTTATTGCATCAGTACATGCTCTTAATTGTGAGATGTACTTTTTTAGTAGGATAAAGAAGTATTAGAGGTAATTACAGTAAGTATAGTGCATTAATGTATCTGGGAATTAAAGGCATTATTTGTTATAGGAAAATGGTTATGGCAATGTCTTAACATATACTTAGAGTCCAACTTAATAGGGAAATAATTTTGTTTCCATTTAATATATAATTTATGTGAATGCTGAGGAATAAGAAAGCCAGTTGGGAAGATTAGAATATCGAGGGATGATACCACTTCAGACTTTCCCATTTTCCCTGTCCCATTCCACTGCTGCTCCTCAGCCAGTCTGATCCCATGGGCAGACCTGACCCTCAGGACTTGGCTGCAGGAACTCCACACTTAGGTTAGCATTGCTTTTTCCTGCTTTTCCTAGGATTTTGGACACATTCCACGTAGCCATGCCTCGTGCTGAGTGCAGGATAGCCGTGAATGCAGCTGTGCTGGTGTGTAGGGAGGGAGAGTGCTGCAGTTTCCATTCCCTCATTCCATCTCTCCTGCTGGGATGTTTAGTGCTTTCATGTCTCACCAGTCCTGGGCACACAGTTCTGGGGGTGTGGAGAGTTACAGGATGGTGTAGCCCAAAGAGAAGCTGTGCCAGGCAAAAGAATACAGGGCATGTCCAGTACCCAAAGAATTTGGTGCTGAAATTATTCCAGCTCTGCTGATTATTACATTGAAGCAGTGTGAAGCAGGAGCAATACTGGCAGCACACCCCAAGGTCAGGGTTAAACTCAGGAAGAGCTCAGTGCAGTGTGACAGTGAATTTCTTTTGACTTCTACAGAGTCTGTCATGATGCTGTCTACAAATGGGATTTTCTTATTTAAATACTGAATTTTTATAGATCTGAACTTGGGTGTGATCACTGTCATACTGTACAACGTAACTGTTTCTGGGTTTGAGAATTGTGTAGATTTTAAGTGCAGCCTTGCAGCTTCTTGGGCTCCAGCAATTCTGAACCCCACTGAATTTATACATCAGTTCTTCTGAGACTGCAGGGGGGTTCCTAGTTCCTCAAGAATACAGTTTCAAACATGAAACCCGAGGCCATATGAGGTCTGTGTGGTAAATAGCTATGGCCCATTACATCCTCGGTGTCAGTGAGGGTTTGCAAGTGTTCACAGGGCCTGGAATGGTTTTACAGGGAAAGAAATTTGGCTCCTGCTTGTGCCCGGAGGCACAGCTCTGCCTTCTCCTTCTTCTGGGGAAGCCCTGTGCTGGTGGATAAGGTGATTTAGGTGCTAAGACCTGTCTCTTCCCTCTGTCCAGGGTGGGGGACTGTCCCCAGCATTGGCACATGCAGAATGTTCCTCCTCTCCCTGGGGCTCTGTGAATTACAGGTCCTGCAGGAGCAGCACAAGAGCCAACAGTGCTGGGCTCCAGGCTGTGAAGGCTGTTGGCAATATTAGTGTTTGCCATATAGCACAAACTCCTTAGAAGCTTTACTTTCAACACGGTTGTAGAGTAAACTATACTTAGATAATCATCTCTGCATGACAGACATACTGCTGGAAGGTTTCATCCTGTAAATTGGCCAGGGAGGGGTGTTAAGTATTCAGTGCTTAACGTGCAGTAGAATTTGATGTTTGCATTTCGAAAGATCTGCCGAGTATTCCTGTAAAATTGAAACGACAGAACTCAGACAATTAACAAATTCTTACTCCTTGACAAAGTTATTTAATCATCTGTTTTCACTCTGCAGCTGAGATTGCATCTTCTGGCTGAATAAGATTTAGAATCTGCTACAGGCATACCAAAAATAGCTCTACTCGTGGTGCTTTTAGCATCCAAAAGCCAGGGAGTAAGGACAGCAGATATTTTTGAGCTTTGTGCATCCTTCAGGTGACCAGTTCATGCTGTACTCCACTGTGAGGATAATTAGATTATTTTTAACTCTCAAATCTCTGCGGTTTGGTACCGAGTGTACAGATTTTATTTGGGTATAAGATCTGCTGTGTATTGCTCAAACTGCAATAGTTTAAGTCAGCACAATGGAACAATTTCACTCGTGTGACAGTGATAGGTTATGGGGAGTTGTTTAATGTTGTTTAAGTTATGTAAATTAATTTTGCACCTTTAATGATTCACTTTGTTGATTGTCTGCACCTGTGGTTAAGTTTTAAAGGATCTCTCAGCACTCCTGGCAAAGAATGATCATGAATTCCTCACCCTTTTCTTTAATATTGAGTGCTGCAAATAGTTGAATTTGCTTTTATGCTTTTGTGGGTTTTGTTGGTGTTTTTTAAACTCAGAGTCGGTGTCTACAGCAGGTAAAGATTAAATCTCTGGGGGCAATATAGGTAATAGTTGGAACAGGTTAATGAAATGTGCCAATTAAAGCTGAAAATTAAAGCTGTTGGAGTTAGGTTTTTGGATAAATGCTTGTATTTCCCTGTTCTGAGCATGTTGACATTTTGTGTTTTTGTAGTGGTGGAAGAAGGACTGTGGGAGAATGGACTTTCCTATGAGTGTAGGACCCTGCTCTTCAAAGCAATTCATAACCTTCTGGAGAGGTAAGAAAAGCTCTATTGCTCTCAAATATTTCATGTTATTTCAAGTCATGCAAGATACCTGCAGAGCATTTACATTATTATTGATCTTACACGGGATTTTTTAGAGGTAGGACTTTAGTGCAAGAGATCAGGATAGAGATGGATCTCTTAAGTCATTGACTCTGGGGATTTATTGTAACATTCTGTGCAGACTAATTAAACACACACAAAGAATGATGTCAATACATATTTCTGCCGCATTTTTGTTGGGGAGCTGTTTCAAAGGCAAAAAACCCTCACGTTTTCACCTTGAGGTGCTTACAGAGGATCTGCTTACACGGAATAATTGTATCTGACCTTCAGCCCCTTTGATGAGGTTAAATGATACATATCTTGAAAGCTCTTAACTCTCTTCCAATCATCCCAGTTATGTGCATGTTACAATGTGACTACATTTGTGTACAGTGTTCAGGGTGAGACTTAACTGTTTCTGGCTCTGACAGACCTAATGTGCCCTTCTGATTTTGATCAAATTTTTAAAAAATTTATATATATATATATATAACAAAGTCAAAATAACTTTGCAAAGTTATTGTTTGATTAGTTAATACACCTACGGCTTTTTCTTCTTAATCCAGCTCTTAACTCTTAATCTTAGTGAAGATTATCTTGTTATTAGGCCTGTGGTGTGTGACATTGCAGCTTGGACTGTTACTCCTTCTGTTTCTGCAGTTCTTCAGGTCATCATCACCTTCCTGTATTATACTTTAATTCTTCTTATGAATTTGGATATCTTCTCAGAATTAAATATCATGATACTATTCCCATTTTTTCTGAAGTTTTAATAATAACACCACCAAACTACAATGCACCTCTGTGTTACACAATATAATGTACCTTTGTGTCACAGTAATTTTGCAGAATGCAGCACTGAGTATTTTGTCTTTTAGAGAGTCACCAAATGGGAAATACTTTCATCTTGTCTCATTTGGAGTCCTGTTTGCTTTGATGTAGATTTACTAGTAATCAAGTTTGCATTATGTTCCTGGGGCTGTTTCCATGAGTGAGGTAACTGTCCCCTTGAAGGTGAGTTACCTGTCTGAGTTGTGAATGGCTATGTGATGTCCACAGCTGCAAGGTTTACTTGTTGTATTTACTATTTTCTGTCTCATCAGTCTCTCTAGGGGATATTTTAATAAAAGTTGTAACTACTTATAGTAACTAAAAGTATAAAAATTAAATTCTGAGTCGTTCACTAGCTGTTTTGTAGTTTCGTAGCATAAAAGGGAAAATTAATTTAATACATGTTTATTAATGTGTGGTACTCAGCCAGCTGACTGGTAAGTATACTCCCAGTGGCTATTTTTATTCTTTGGACCTCTTTAAGCTTGTGAAGTAAGCTTTAATTATTTCTTTTTAAAAATAACTTCATTGCTATCAGTTGGCAGAGTTAGCAGAACTTCAGAGCTCTTCTCTTTCCACAGAGTTGGTGAACAGAACTCAGGTGTTTCTGAGGGTTTCATTTCATGAGGGATTCTGACAGCCCCTTGGCCTCACATGAGCATCCCACTGCTCTCCTGACATCAACTTTTTTAGTTTTATAGCGGAGGATATTTTTAATGATACACTTTTTTGGATTTTTTTTTTTCTTTTTTTTTTTTTTGCCTTGCCATGTCAAATCTGAAGTTAAGATCATAACTCTTTAGAGTAATAGCAGTATGTGTGTAGGCTTTAAAAAGTGAATTAACACTTAAAAGACTCGTTTTATTCAGTGTTTAGGAAAAGCTCAATTAATAAAACACAGGTCTTGAATTGCTTTTTGATCTTCCCAGACAGTGACAGGGCTGTTGCCTGTGCCTGAGGTTTTGGGGCCCCTCTGGGAGAACTGCTGTGGAGGGAGGGAAATGGCAGGAAGACGAGCAGGTTTAGCTGCCCCTGACAGAAGGACTGTGAGGGGACACTGTGGGCAAGGAAGGGAGAAGTGTCTGCTTTAACTTAGCCCTGGGAGAGGCAAGAAAAGGGGCACTACACAACTGTTCTTTTTTTTTCCCCTCAGTACCCATAGAAGTGATCACAAGTTTCTATTAGTTGGCAACATGGAAAATGTTAAAAGATCTGAGGAAAGAGTACTCCAAATATTACGGTGTTATTTCATAACCATTTGTGTGTCCTTGTCAGGTAATTTTTTTTCACAGGAAAATCAGGAATATGAGAGGTGAAGTGCCAGGAGAACTGCCCAGCCCCAATAAGGGGATGGAGCCAGGAGTGAGGCTGCTCATGTCCTTGGTTCATGTCGTTAATAACTGCTTTTTATCACCTGTTTTTGGGTTTTTTTTGCACAAGTCCATTGTTACAGCTCACTGTGGCAGACTGGTTTCCTTTAGTGCTTATACAGCGAAAGTAACACGGAGCTGTCATTAACTGCTCCCCCGGCCGAATCTGAGTCTGTGCTGCTGCTTCATTTTATACAGGATTATTCCTTAAATAACCCGTGATTTAGTTTAGCATGGAGGGTTGACTGATTTTTAAGGCCAAATCTATCCATGAAGACTTTTTTTCTAGCAAAGCAGCATTAGTTTGAGGCAGTTAAACCTGCTGTGGTGAGACACGGTGATGTGGCATTGAAGTGTGTGATGGGGGAGAGTTTATTACTTTTTTTTTTTGCTACTACAGATTATTTTCTTTAGGGATCTGATGTAAACTTCACAGACTTCCTTTTGTTTGTATAAAGCATGCTGGCACTGACAGACTCTCTGATAGCAAATATTTCCTAGGGAAATAGTTGCTGAAGCAGTTTTTTTTATCCCCTAACAATGTCTTTAGATCTCTGCTGGCTTAGCTTTCATAGTCAGTTGAAGATATTGGTGTATTCAACTTAGCTGGTTTCTTTTGGCTTTAATGAGAAAGTGCTGTTAGAATTTTCTTCAGCTTTGACTTTGGAAAACCATGCCAAGTTTATACAGGAGAATTAGGAGCATATTAGTATCTATGTTGTCAGTCCTCCATTTCCTCTCTGTGATTCTAGGTATGCTTTTGAAGTACAGATCACACAGCTTTCCTAAACCTTGCAGAAAGTACTTTCCCAGAAAGTTTCATGTGATTTTTAATTTTTTTTTCTTTTGTTTTGGCTAATCTCTAGCAACTGCTATAGAAATAAACTATTGGAAAACTTTGAAGAGTGGAAAAATGCAGCTCTTTCATCTAAATAACAAAATTCTTCATAGACATGAGATATATGGGGAGAGTTTGTATATTGCTTGTAGTGGTGTATAAACCACTAGCAACATAATGACCAGGGTTTTTTTCAGAATTTTTGAAGTATATTATTTACCTTACTGAAAAATATTCCTTCATAATGAATTTCTGGATGTGATCCCTCGGGCAGCATGTTGGACTACATGTTTAATGTATGAAGCATATTTAGTGTTGGCATATTGCTTGTGTGATTCAGCTGCACAGCTGGACTTAGAAAGGCATCAGGCACTCCCCAACTTGTCAGCCTGAATTGGTTATTGATCCCCTTGAATCCTCACTGTTGGGGTTATTTGGAGCCACAGAATATACAGTTTCCAGAAAGAAAGTGTGGACTTTTAAAAGGACCAGAGAAAACGAGTAATTTCTTGCTCTAGTTTTTGTGGGAGCATGTTTGTTGTTGAGTGAGGTTTTCTGACAGAGGAAACAGTAATTGTGGAAGTTTCAGCAGCTGAAATCATGCTGTGGATCGTGTGAAAGGAAAAATGGTTCATTGTTAATATTTGCCTAATACAATTTCCTGTCATTCCTGTATTATACTATGCCATTTACATGCCAAAAAGACAGGAATGCTTGTTCTTCATCATGAAGTCTGAGAGAAAGATTGAATAGAAAAGAATCAGTACTAATGTATGGCCTTTGTTCATGAAGAGGAGTGTGAAAAATGGGATGATGGATCATTCAGCAAAACGAATAGCACTGAGTGGAAAAGATTGTGGCAGAGCTGAGGGGGAAATGCATGTGTGAAGTTCAGCATCAGTGTCAGCATCCTGAGATGGGACAGGGATTCTCTGTAACTCCTGTGGGAAAACAGAACGTGGCAAAGTTAGGTGAAACCCAAAAAGTACAAAGTTGATTTCAGTGTGATAGAAATTTGGCTGCCTAATCCCTTAGGTTCCCTGTCTTCAAAGGCTGCTTTTAATTACACCTTCGGGTGTTAAGTAGTAATTGTTGCTGTGATTGTTTTCTAGATGCCTGATGGATAAAAACTTCGTGAGAATTGGAAAGTGGTTCATAAGACCCTATGACAAGGATGAGAAGCCTGTTAATAAAAGGTAAGGAGATCTCTGTATCAAGTACTGCTCCTGTCAGTGTTGTGTACTCATGGTGCTAATGTGGTGCTGCATTTTGGTGTTAGTTTTTCCATTTCTTCAACTGTGTAACATGTAAAACCACAGACACTGTTCACATCAGTAATACAGAGAAAGCAGTTCAGTAAATTTTCAAGTCTTGTTATGATAGTATAATATAAGAAAGTGAGGTTGGTATTTATCCCTTAACTCCACAGAAATGTCACATTTATTAATCTCCTTTGAACAGCATCTGCCTGTTTCATTGCACAGCAGAAGAGCAGGTAGTTATAATGAATGATTTGAATTTCTGGACACTAAACCCCAACCTGACATTTTAAGCAGTAAAATCAGCAGTGTCTAGATTTAGTGATTTATGTTCTTTAAAGATGCCAGCGCTGATACACAGCTTTGCCTGCTCAGGCAGCCTGACAGATCAGCCCGAGATGAGAGAGCGATTAACGCGCTTCCCTGGCAGCAGCACACCCATGGAGCAGGGCTAGCTGGCTCCACTGCTCCTTGCTGTTTCCTCTCCCAGCTCTAAAGGTTACAATGTTCTCAGATCTTCTGGTACTTGCATTTATAGTCATCCGCTAAACAAGTTCTGTCAAAAATAATCTGAGTTAAGCTGAAACACAGATTTTCTAACGGGAATCATTTTGACAGAACTGGGTTAGGAAGTGACTAAACATGCAGTTATGCTGGAAGATTTGAAGGTAATGAGCAGTGGAGATGAAGTGGGGTGGCAACTTCTTCATCCAGCGTAGCTGCAGCCACAGCAGCGTGTCTGCTGGCAGCTGTGGGTACAGGTGCAAAGCATTCTGCAGATCACACGTGTCTTTGCAATGCTACAAACCATTGGCTTTGTGCTGGAACGGACTTTGTGCAAACCAGGTGCTTCCAAACAGCAGTTGGTTTTGTGAGAGAGTGCAGTAATGAAACATGGATTCCTCTCCTTTCTAAAACCAGAGAGCAGTAGCTTAGCAAGGGGTTATCTCTCTTTTTGCTGTTTACTTTGTGGCTTACATTGTGTGTGTGTAACCTTTGATTTCACATGGATCTGATGGCAAGGAGCCATGGAAAGGTTCAGGTTTTGCCATATCTTCCTCTGTCCTGGCTCTGCGTAACCACCTTCCTCTCCTCTTTTCTCTGCTGCTTTCCTGATCACACCTACATCAGTTTAATTTTCTGGAAGATTAATTCCCTAAAGTGACGTCAGAAGTGGTCACTTCAAGCTTCTGAAAGAGGGAGGCAGTTCCTTTCAGCAGAGCTGTTTGTTTTATCCACGTCACTGCAGCCCAAGTGCTCAGATAAAATGTATTGGGAGTCTCCTGTCGGTTCTTGGTGTGTAGCAATGGAAGGAATGAGGCATCTGATACAGTAGGTGATGTCTGTTAGAAACAGCGGCAGCACTGGTATGGAAGGTATGTGTCCTTAGATTTCTGAGAGATGATGAGGTCTTGTCTCTGATTTACTTGTGTATAACACCAAATCACCTGTACAGCAAGGGGATCTCTAGGGGATGTTTACATTTGTAAATAGAAGTGCAGTATGCACATCAATACATCAGGTCGGAAGTTGTTAAAAACGCTGAGTTTGTATTGAACTTGATTTGTTTTTGAAGTCTTTCATATATAAAACTGACATGGAGGGGTTTAGGGTTTACTCTGATTTGAAGAAGATGTTGTTTGTTGTTGATTTGGGGGTGTGTTGCTTTGGGTTTGTATAAAGTACTTGTCACTATAGATGCTCTGCAGATGCACCATTTCAGAAAGGTTTACTTCAGCAATAATAATTCTGGCCTAATTTGAAGTAGGGTTTCTGTTGTTTCAGGTTGTCAATTTTTCTGCTATAAATATGTCATTGGAGTTAATTAATCTTCCTGCAGTGTGTCAGTGCAGACTGCAGACGTGGACAGTAGAGTCACCTGCAGACAGTAGCAGCAAGTTGTAGGAGGCTTTGGTGACTAATCTGTCCAGACACCTTTTATTTAATCTTTTAAGCTTTCTTTCTCAGTACAGCACAAAAAGCTATCTTCACACAAATTGATTCACCTTCATTCCACGCAAATTCTTTGTGGAGCTCCTGCTCTAAGCAGCACTTCGTTCTAGATAAAACAGAAAGGAGCAGTCCCAGGAAGAAGAGGTCAAAGGAGTGTGTTTAGGTGTTTCAGCACTGTGGGTAATGCCTTCATAACCAAAGCAGTGGTGTTTTAAAACATGATAGTTAAACCCATGGTAATACATAAAATACTAGAGTTGAGCTGCAGGTATGTACAGTGCTCAGGTTGAAGTGTGGGGACAGGTAATCCCTGCTGAAAACTCCTGCACTGTTCTCCTTGAGCAGCGACAGAGAGAGATCCATATGGATATATACCCCCTGGAATGGTGACCAACAGCTGTTTCCATCCTGGCAAAGAAATGCACATGGTTCTGAACCCTGATTTTTTACCTTTACTTGTGGCAGAGTTGGTCATCTGAAATTCTAACATCCAGAGTTACTAAGTTCATTTCAGGAATATACTGAAGTCCCAGACTGGGTGGAACTGGAGAGGGAAGGAGTTAAAGCTCTTGGGTTGGCTCCCAAGGAGTAAATTCCTTCAGGGGCTGTGAGTTTTGTGAATGGCACTGGAGGAGAAGGGCAGGAGGTCTGTGATTCTAGAATGAAGTCAAAGATGAAGTGGAGCATGGCAGTGGCCCTGACCTAGTTATGCTGAGATGTGAACAGGAGGCCTAAGAACAGCAGCCTGGCCTGGCTTGCCTGCCTTCCCAGGCAAGATGAGCTTTGCTGCTCTTTCAGGCAGAGTGAGGGAACAGCAGAGGGAGTTCCAGGCAGATCCCTGCTTTGTTTTGCTTACAGTGCAGACTAGATGCTTTTAACAGGAAATTCAGCCCAGAACTTGTGGGTTTTCTTTCCCAAGGATCTTTAATATTATGTGACACTTCCTAAATAACTGTGCCTGTTGTATTGTCTGTGGTGCAGCAGTGTGTGCCTAAAATAGGTTTCGTACTACCGATGGAAAATGGCAAACCGGATTGTTTTTCTGCACAATTTCCTAAAGGAGATGTGTTTGGAGTTCACAGTTTGTCTGATCCAAGGCTTTGATAGGACCTTCCACAGTGTGGGAAATTTATCCTCATAAGGCTCCTCAGAATACCTTTCCAGTGTTTGTGTGGAGTAATTTTTGGCTTTGGAAAATGCCACAGAAAGTGTTAAACATCTTACTAACAATGACAAAAAAAAAATTGATGATCATCTTATGTAATAATCTTTGCTAATTGTCTTAGTGATTGTTTTCTTGGTGTGTATGAAATTGGGTGGGGAATCAGTTTTCAAACCATGTGAGCAACTTAAGTCATGAAGTTGCTTCTAATTTGCTTAAATGTAAAGAACATGTGAAAAAGTAATTGTTGCTTTTTGTAGATTAGCTGATGGGTCATCCCCTTTTCCAAACCTCTGCCAGGTATTTTAGCCTTAAGAAGAAAAAAAATTCCTTCCATCAGTGGAATATTTTGAATACGAGTTTGTTTCTTTCCTTGTTCCTAGTTGAGCAGCTGACAGGTAGGAATGGTGTGTGGGTTCTCTGCCCTCTGTGTGTGAAAGCGTGGATGGAGCAGTGGGATACAATTCTTGGACTTCACTTTCCAAACCCATTTGTGGTTGCCACTGTCCCATAAGAGAGTTGATAATGCAGCCTCATGTGGTGTGCCAGAACACAGAAATGTCTGAGTTAGGAGTGCCTGGGCTGTATCTTATTAAATACACTATTGAAAGCATTCACGTGTCACCTCTCCCTCTGTAGGTCAAACCCTTGAACTTTTCCCTGTGTGACAGAGTTCAGTCAGGACATCCACAGTTTTGCTCAGTAGCTGTGCTCATTTCTTTGCAAGCATCAAAACTGGGCATTAATCAGTGCCATCAAAGGCTGCAGACACATTAAGCACTGCTTCCTCTCAGATCCTGGAAATGATGGTTGCCTTCAGATTCCTGGCAGTAGTCGTAGGACTTATCCAAGGAATATCTAGATCAGTGATAGCAGGATTGATGTTGAGCATTGTTGCAAGCTGTATTCACTTGGTGCCATGCTAGGAACTCCTGCCAGTCGGTGTCTCCATGTGTAAACATCAGATCTGGTGAGGCCTAGAGAGGAGCTGCAGTGCTGTGCCAGCAGG